GACATGGATTTCAAGTGTCCCAATATCACCAGCTGGACCACCAACGCTCCTCGCATAGAGCCTGCCAAACCAGGGCTGGAAGACCTAACGACATACTAGGAAACACAGGGGGCATAAAAGAAGTGCACAGCCCGGCCAGCATGGCTCAGGAGGTCACGTTTGAATTCCTGGTCAGGGCACATGCCACCGTTGTGGGCTGGATCCCCAGTGTGGGGCGTGCAGAAGGCAGCCGATCCATGATTCTCTCTCCTCGCTGATGTTTCTCTCTCTCCTTCTCCCTTCTTCTCTGAAATCAATAAAAGTATTTTTAAAAAATAAAAAGAAAAGGAGTATACAGAGTGATGTGACTTTGAAAATTCCAAAACTCAGCTAAAGCCTGAACAAGAACATGCTTTCAAACCTCGCCACCCCAAGCACGGCCGGCCAAGGTGGAGTCTGTAAGCCGGGCTGCAGCTCAGCACATCCCCACTGCAGCCTGCCTGCCTGCCCGAGGTCTGCAGACCACTCCCTGCCAGGAGCCCCGCCAGCCGGGCAGGCCTAGCAGCAGGGTGCAGCAAGGGGTCAGATCCAAGGCCAGGCCCTGGCCGGGGCCCCTCCGGCTGCCTCCCGGGTGCTGAGTCCCCTCTGGGTGAACCATCATCAGGGAGAACCATAGGAGGAGCCACATCACCACCATCACCACCAGCACCACCCTGGTCAGTGCAACCACTCCCCGGCCTTCAGCAGCACAGCTGCAGAACCCAGGGCCTGCCACAGCCGGTCACCGAGCGAGGAACAGAAGCCTCAAGGCCGGCGGGAAAGGGCCAGTGTCCACCCCTCAGGGAGGCAGGGGCCGCCGAGCCCCTGCTGGGAAAGCGATGATATTTAAAAACTCACCTCCCGAGAAGTCAGGCAGTAGAAAGGCCCTCAAGAAGCCACATCTGGCCCAGCCGGAGTGGCTCAGTGGTTGAGCCTCAACCCATGAACCAGGAGGTCGGGGTTCGGTTCCCGGTCAGGGCACATGCCCGGGTTGCGGGCTCCATTCCCAGTGTGGGGCGTGCAGGAGGCAGCCGGTCCGTGATTCTCTCTCATCACTGATGTTTCTCTCTCTCTCTCCCCCTCTCCCTTCCTCTCTGAAATAAATAATTATATAATAT